AGGCCCTCTTTTGAGATCTGGATCCCAATACCTTCTTACCTTCTTGAGGACTTCATTTGATCTTTCCTATAATTACCACTCAGGTACTCTCTTCTGGAACAAACAATCATGCTTCTAGTTTTGGGTGACAGCCTAGTTTTCTAGGCTCAACATCTACCTGTGGTTCCTTCTTTTTTGTAAAGAATTGGGTACAGTGACTGTCTCCATCTTCTCACTTTCCATTTCCTTTATTTTTTTGTTCCTTTTTTCCTCCAAATGTAAAATATATGCAACCTATTTAATTTATAAAGCATATTGTATTATTGAACATCCATAAATCCACCATGCCAGCCAGAAACTAAGAGAGTCACCACTGACCAGCCTACACCTTGTGTTCTACACCTATCCTGTATCTCTGGCCTCACCCCCAGAAAAAAGTATTTTCTTGATGCTGTTGTCATTCCATTGCTTTTTGAAGGAAGTTCTCACTGTTTTGTATGAACAAGGTATTCATACTTCTGCTTAAGATTTATAAAGTAGGTATTTATTTTTCCAGGAATGGTTGTTTTCACTCAGCATTGTATCTCTATGATTCATCCAAGTTTTTGCATGTAGCTGGGCAAATCCATTTCCACTGCTATATAATACTCCACATATATAAATATATCACTAACTCTTCCCCTAATAATTAATATTTGTATAATATCCAGTTTCATAGCTTTCATGAAAAGTATTACAATGAACATTCTTGTACAACTCCTGGGCCATATGGGGAAGTTTCTTCAGGGTAGTACCTTAAAGTAGAATAGCTAAGTAGTCTATCAGACAAATGTTAACTTACACAATTTCAATGAAACTGACCTACTTCATCTCTCTACAAGCAGTGTATAAGAACTGATTCGTAGCCTCTAAAATACCTGACACTCAAATTTCCTAATGTTTGCTCTTCTAATGGGTGGGTACAAAATGCTCTTCCTTGTGCTCTCTTCATGTATACTCCCCTGCTTACTAATGATCTAGGCATGTTTTGGTATTTTTATTAACCACTAATATTCCCTCATCAGTGAATTATCTGCTCAGTGTTTGCTCATTTTGCAATTAGTGTCAGCTTTCCTAACTGATTTCTAAAGTTACCTGTGCATTGTACACATTAATATATATTCTATAAATATATTTTCCTAGTTTCTTTCCTTTTTAGTTCCCTTCCTTTTTATTTATATCTTTTAGCCTTTTATAATTTTCTCATCACACCATGTTGACTAAGACCTATGCTACAGAAATGGTGCTAGTGAGTACCCTTGTTTTGCTCCTGATTTTAAGGGGGAATTTTTTACTGCTTCATTACTGAAAATGATTTCTATTGGTTTTTGGTAGATATTTTTTATCAGGTCAAAGAAATTCTATTCTAATCCTAGTTTCTGAGTTTTTATCATGATGAGGTATTGAACACGACAAAGTGATTTTTTTCCCCTGCATCTACAGAACCTCATATTTCTCCTGTGTTTGGAATTTACAGGTAATCTACATTCAATTGCTTTTCCATTTCTGGAATAAGCTCAGATTAGTAACTGAGTATTATCTTGTTAGATATACTTAACAAATTTAGATTTCCAATAATTCTGTTTAAGATTTTGACATGTATTGTAATGAAATGAAACAGAACTATAATTTTCTTCATATACCCTTTTGGTATTAGGGTTGGTATTGGTCTTTAATTAGAGTGACTTGGAGAAATAGTTCCTTTGCTATTCTCTCAAAGAGTAGAGTGGTATGATCCTTGAAAGTTTAGTTTAAGAGAATTCAGCTCCAAAACCACCTGTACCAGTTTTCTCCATGGGAAGACTTTACACCATTGATTACATATCTGTAATACTTATAGTATTTTTAGACTTCCTATTTCTTCTTGAATGAGTTTTGGTGAATTCCGTTTTTTTTAAATCTGTCAGTTACTTCAAATTTTCAAATTTACTGGTATAAAGTTTATAATACTCTTTTTAGTCTATGCACAATCTTTGTTGTGTAGCTGTACCACTTTTCAGCATTTAGCTATATAGTACTGTAGCTGTATTCACTTATTTTAGCATTATTTATTATGGCTTTATTTTCTTGGTCATTATCCAAGTAGATTGTCTATTTTTCTTAGACTTCAAAGTATCAATTTCTGATTTCTTTGATCCTCTCTATTGTAACTGTTTTCTAATTGACTGATTTTTACTTTTACCTCTAATTCAAATTTTTATTTCCTTTTTCTGTTTATTGTAATACTCCTTTCTATATTTTAAGTTGTGTGTACCTCCTCCATTTTCAACTTTTCTTCCTTTCTAACGTAATTATTTATAAAGATAAATTTCCCTTTAAATTCAATTTCATCATATTTCACAAATTTTAATTAGGTGGTATTTTCATTATCAGTAAGTTATGAGCATTTTAACTTCTAATATAATTTTTTTATCCAATTGATTATTTAAGAAGGATGGATAATTTAAAATGTATGGAGTTTTTTAAACTTACAAGTTTGTTATTTATTTCTATATGAACTGCACTGTGATCAGAGAATAAAATGGAAAATTAAATATCCAAGTGTCTACTTGCCATCTACATTGCATGTCTAACTGGCACTTAAAACTTCCAAAAGGACTTCCGATTTCTCAGTTCTCTCCCAAGACTTCCCCACCTGAGTCAATGACATTAACATCTATGTAAAGCGTAAATCAAAAAAACCCAGTCATACCTGACTGATGATTCCTCATTCTCCCTCATCTCACACCCAATCCACCATTATTTACAATTCAAAAATATTCACAAACCTGTACTTTTAAAATTCTAACATCCTGTAGTCCAACAACCTAACCCACTCCCCATTTTATAACTTTAGTTCCTTTCCAATTCAACCTCCACAAAGCAGCTAGTGATCTTTTAAAAATGTGTGTTAGATCAGTTAATTCTCCACTTAAATTTCACTGCCTTCTGAATAAATGCTGTCTATGTCCTGCACAGTCTGGTTCCTGCCCACTTCATCTCCTATCACCGTTCTTTTCACTCATTCCCTTCGGCTCCACTACCTTAGGACATGCTGAGCCCTTTTCCTTTTACTACCTCTGCTTTTACCTTTCCTTTTTGCCTAGAAAGCTCTTCCTCAACTTCTATTTCTTATCTTTTAGATCCCATCTTAAATGTCAATTCCTGAAAGAAGTCTTCCCTGACCATTCTAATTAACTTATTATCACATTAGTGTTTTATTTCCTTCAAAGTAATCATCAGTTTGTAATTTACCATGTGTATGTTTATTATCTGTCTCTACCGCCAGAATGTAAGCTTCCCCAGGGAATCTTATTTATCTTATCCACTGATATAATCCCAGGATCCAGCACAATGCCTAGCACATATTAAATGCTCAATAAATGTCTGCTGAATAAATACTATCACAAATTACATATGAAACACTTAGTAATACCTAATAAACTAAGTAATAGTGATTAACGACAATCAAACAAAATTGAGGGAAAAAAATGCCACATCATCCTACCACCATCAAAACCAATTATGTTTGTAAATTTTTTTCTTTACAGATTTTCTAGTATATTTTATTCTTAAAATTTCTTACAGAATTACTCTCAAGCTAGAAACTTATACTTAGTGAGAAGTGCAAATCTGAATGTTAGTACAAGCTGTTTTTTCCTAAGAAAACATATTTACAAAAATAGATCCCATAAGAAACTAAAAATTGGAACTAATTATCATAGGAAAAATATTAAAATTATCAGAGATACTTCCTGATACTAAAACAGCAAGCAGAAGGTTTCACAAATAGGAACAACCTTTAAAGGAATAAATAAACTATTTAAACAACCTTTAAAGGAATAAATTATTTAAAGAAGTAAGCTATTTAAATACCAAAGTATACAAAAAGCAAAAAAAAGCACACACATTTGTTTAGCAAAGACCAAAAAAGTAGAGACAACTCATACTTCAGGGTCTCTCTATAAAATACTAGCAAACTTAGAACAAGAAACTATGACTATGTGATCATGTTGGGTGTATTTCAAGAAGCTACAGGGTAGGTAGCTGAATATTAGCAAATCTAATAACAGAATAAATTCCTTATTATCATTAGGTCAAAAGTGGAAAATCATTATTATACTTCCACTTCACCTGGAGAGACATTAGTTCAATGAACATTCTTGCTAGAAACCTCTAAAATAATAACTGAGGCTATTTCCTTGGTGTGATTAAAAAAAAATTGTGTGTGTGTGTCCATGAAATCAACCTGAAAGCCAGAATCATTCTTACTGGGCAGATAGTAGAGCAAGGGCTGGTAAACTATGGCGCACAAGCTACTTCCAGTCCATCACCTGTTTTTATAAATAGAATTTTGTTATAAGGTAGCTACATCATTCATTTATATATTGTCTATGGCTACTTTTATACTACAACAGCAGAGTTCGGTAGCTGCAATAAAGACTGGCTCACAAGGCCAAAAATATTTACTATCTGGCCCTTCACAGCATAAATCTGACAATCCATATACTGAGCATTACTATTTAAGTTAGGAAAAGACACATGTTTATCTTCAATCATTGATTTCTGAAGCTATCATTAAATGCAATTAGGCAAGGTATTAAAATTCCAACTTTTGCAACTGCCTCCACTCTGTGACTAAATCACTGATTTCCTTGTTGAGGACACTCCTTTTCCCTTGCTATTATCTCTACTGTACAACAATGGCAGCTCTAACTCAATCATACTTCTCAACCAAAATGATCTCTTAAATGCCCAAGTTTTCTTTAATAAAGCCAAGTGGAAGCACAAACCTTATCTCAATAGAACACTAAAACTGCCAGTATTCCAATTTGGTATTTAGCTTTGTAGAATACCAAAAGCAAAACAAGAAAACCCGTAGGGCCTACTAGTTCTACACTGGGCTTGGAAATGCAATTAATAACATAACCAGTATTTGAATGTGATGTATACAATTCTTGTACAATACACATAAAAATAATAAACCTCACTGTTAAACATACCCTTCTTGAAGAGATAATTCTTGGTTTTCTTCTTCAGGACCACTGCTATCACTCTGTAGTTCAGGTTCATTCTCATCTTTTCCTGGCAGAGTTTCCCAGCTTTCATCACTTGAGGACTGATCTTTTTCTGTACCAGAAAACCGATGAGGCAATGAAGCAGACCATTCTCCATCACTGCATTCTGAACTACAAATTTAGAACAGAAAAAAGCCATCATTACATGTGTATTTTTCATTTGGAGTATTAACCACACATCATGGTATAGGGTGGACTACTGAAGCCATATATACTTCATCAGGTGCCAATTCAATTTTTAAAATATTTAAAAACACAGAAATATATTCCATAGAATGTAACTTTTTAAAATGAAAATAGCATATGGCAATTTATAGAATTATCAATTTATTATTTTCATCACTAAAGAAAATGCCATGGTATTCAAATGTAGGATCTTCATATTTTAGACATATTTCTAAGTAAAATTTTAAATACAATTTGGTAATCATAAATTAAATGCTATGTGGAATAAATAGTAATAGTTTTATTACTCATCTGACCTGACTACAACTTTCTAGTTACATATTGACAACTTAGTTCATAGCCTCTAGAAATAAATTTCCACTATTACCATGTTTTAGAAGCTTAACTATATTTTTCCTTCCTTTTTCACCAAAGATTTTAAGGGAAAGTTAAATTAATAAAAAGCAGCACTGACAAATCTTTACTAAGTCTTCTGGTAGGACTGTGAACACAAAATAAGTTTCAATTCAAGAGAACATTCAGATAAAGAACCAGAAGGTCCAACAGAAGGATTAATAAAGAACCTTGAAAAATTACTTCTGGTTATACTTAACTTTGGTTAATTTGATTACATTTAACTATTCTTAAAGCACTAGTTATTATACAACCAAATGCTAAACTATTACTTATCAATGCTGATAATAAATCTTAAATGCCCCTTCTAGCCATAGCAACCATTCTGGTCAAGAATTCTCTTAAACATTTCCTTTTTTGCATTAACTTCTCAGAAAACAAAAAAATAACATATCTTACTTTATGTTTTTGAAAGGAAGTGCTAATTGGTAAGAAATTACCTCATTGATGATGATGATATATTATTAGAACTAGTATAGCGAATTCATTTTATTGATAGATGAGCCCAAGATCAAGATTTTATTAGAAAAGAACAGCACTAATCTGAGCTTTGAGAAGTTAGAGAAAGTAAAAACATAAAATCAACTCCCAATTTTCAGCAGTGGGCAGCAGGGCACAAACATCCTGGAGAAGGAATGTCCTAGCAGAGCAAATAAAGGGTGTCTCTTCAGTTGGGTATGAGCCCAAGTTGATTATATTCCATAAAATTATTTGTGGCCTAAAGAATAATCTAAGATCACATAAACCATTTAAAAGGGTGTCTCTTCAGTTGGGTATGAGCCCAAGTTGATTATATTCCATAAAATTATTTGTGGCCTAAAGAATAATCTAAGATCACATAAACCATTTTTAGACTTGTACTAGTATCAAAATCTAACACAGAAAGTTTTAAAGGAGCTTATTGAATTAAGATTCCTTGACTATGAAGCTTTTTAAATTCAAAGCTAATAGTTACCAACTCTAATTTGGTATGTCTCAACAATTAGGGTAAGATTTCAATATTAATTTGTGGAAATTTTCAACATTCTTATTTAAAAGAAAATCATTTTTTTTTAAAACATCTCACTAAGAGTATGATCCTGTCCAGAAAGATAACACATGAAACTTCAGAACTTCTCGGGATTAGTGAAATAATTGATGGAGCATGTCCAAATTTCAATAAAAAGAACGTCTATGATTAATAGTCAATATATTTAAGAAGGCTATTGTCAAGAATTGGCAAACTTTGGCCTTTCACTCAAATATGGCCCTGCTGCCTATTTTTTTTAGGTCTGTGAGGTAAAAGTGTTTTTTACATATTTATCTTCAATTTGCCTCTTGGTCAGCAAAACCTAAAATATTTACTGCCTGCCCTGTAAGAAAAAAGTGTGCAGATCCATGGCCTGTATCATTATTACGCATTATAGCCAGCCCTTACCTTTAAGTAGGTAACTTTTAAATATAAATCCCCAGTCTTGACCACTATACTAAACTTTCATAATCATTAACTACCTAACATTTTTAGATTTTCCTTTTCAAAATTAATCTGCCAGTAAGTCCCTTTCTTGATTTTCTATTTGCTAATGGTACTAAAACCTTGGTCTCAAGGTGAAAAACACGTAACTCTGACTCTTCACAAACTCCCAACTCTTAAGTACTTTCTTGCTTTTCATTCTTTTTGTACATGGCTTTAAATATCCTAGCTCTATTTTCTCTATTTTTTCCTTAAAAAAACCTTGTTCAAGGGCTCTTCTCCAAACAGTACAGTATCAACTGGTGACCCTAAATTTATTCCTGCTCCCTCAACTCACTTTAAAAATGCATTCTGAATATCACTATTGCTTCAATTTATATCAAACAGTACATTTATAATGTTACTCCAAAAACTTCTAGCAGTTTTTTCTCCTTAAGTAGTTTTTCACAAAATTAAGCTATTTGCCTACTGCCCTCGCAATTTTTGCTACATTTATATATTAACACTGAAGACAGGTACTGGAGTCAGCTTACCTGGATTTGCATCAGCTGGTTATTAGCTTTGAAAAAGTTACTTAACCTATCTGTGCCTTTACTGCCTCACATAACAGGTGAATATAAGAACAGTATCTAATAGCTTACTGAGTTCATGTGAGTTGGAAATGAGTTAAGATATGCAAAACATTCTAATGGTGCCTAGTAAATAACAAGCCATCAATAGCTGTTAGCAAATCCTTTTTAACACAATTTTTTTCTTTCAAATAGTTATCTCCTAAGCAGTATCTAAAATTCCAAAATTGATGTGCTATCTATTCTGATTCACAATAAAATAAAATCATAGAAATTAAAAATACTTGCCTATGTACCATTTAATATACTTGATCCATTTTGGAAATACTGGCTTACAGAAAAAGAAGTTTAAACTGAGTGGCTTTTATGATTTACTACAATCTGACCCCAGTTATTAATACATTCACACATTCAGCACTTCCCTTACATGAACACTATTCTAAACACTATCTCCAAATTGTGAACTTTTGCCACAACCATTCCTCCCACCATCAAGAATGTGTTCACAATCATGTTACCTTTTTTCTCTCAGTACCAGAACATTCCTTCAAGACCCTCCTCATAAAACTGCTTCTTTGTTTTTCAATTAATTCACTGACTAGACTTGTTGCTTACTCACTTCAACTTACTATGGCACGGCTGCTTCTTTCACATTGTATTTAAAAGTATTTTTCGTAAGTGCAATATCACACTTTCTTTAATAATCACCGTAAGGAGATTAGCCTTAACAGTAAAGTACTCATAAGCTCTTCGGAGACAACTAAGACTGTGCAATCGCATGATTTCAAATAGATAACTTTTAGTGATGTTAGTTTATTTGAAAGGGGACAACAGTTCATTCTCTTTAAAGTACATTCCAGAAATTAATACACATTTGTGATGTAAGTGATAGTAAAAAATGAACAATTTCCTATTAACATTTCATTCTGAATATTTTTATCTATGACAAACTTCAAAATTAATGTCTTAATAATTTGTAGCTCTAAAGGACTAAACTGGCTCAGAGGACTAGTCAGAGGAAACCATGCAACTTGTAAGATTTTTTACTACAAAAAACAAAAACAAAAGATGTACTATCTCAGGCAACTTATTTACTGAAGAAGCAAAGTGCTATACTTAACATCAGGTGAAAGTTCTATCTATGACAGCCTCTTTTTCACCCAGTGGTGAAAGAGCACATTGGTAAGAGCAAGCTTTCAAGTCAAACGTATTTGGGTTAGGATCCAGGCTAGGTACATTATTGATGCAAGCCTGGACAATTAGCTTCCCTCAATTCATTCTTCCTGATTTGTAAAATGAGGACATTAACACTTACTTTTCAGGTCTGCAGAGATGTTTAATTAATACTGTAGATAAAATGTTTAGCACAATTTTTTGAAAATGGTAAACATTTAATAAAGGTGGTAGTTACTTCTTTTATCATATAAGCTGTTTGCTTAGACATTTCAATTGGATTCCACCTACCACACACCATCATTTTCCTCTTTTCTCAAAGAAAATCTACTCTACATTCTTGTTTTATCTTATTAAAGGCAATACCAGCCTCTCCTGGTCATCCAAGATCAGCTTTAGTCTTAAGTCTTTTTACCAGAGGTTAGCAAATTACGGCGTGGCCCATGAGTCAAAGCCGGCCAACTTGTACATGTTTTCCTGCATTTTTAAGTGGTTATGTAACTATCTACATAATATTCTTGATTTTGCCTGTTGGTCCACAAAGCCTAAAATATTTATTACTTGGTCACCCTTTTAAAAAAGTCTGGAGACCCCTGGGGTCCAGAGAAGACAAAGCAAAGCAGAGTCCAACATAGGTCAATGGAATAGAAAGTGTGGAGCAGAAGAGAGTGAACAAACAGATCAGTAAGTACCACAGAAGTCAAAGAAAATGGGGATGGAGAAAAGTCAATTGGCTGTGAAAATCAGGAGGTGACTGTTAATTCTAGCGCATATAGAAGTAATGCTGGGATTTAGATTTTGAGGCATTTAAGAGTGTAGACAGTGGAGAAACAGAAGTAGTGGGTATGGAACATTTATTCTGAAAATTCAGCAGTGGAAGAGAAAAAATAAATAGGCAAGTAGTTAATAGAGGGTGCAAGAGCAAATGAAGGTTTTCCCCAGGATTTGGAAAAACTAGAGAATAAGAAGTAGAAGGGAGCAACCTAGGAGTGAGTGTAATAAATTAAGGTATCAGATATAACTAGAGGCACAGAATGAGCAAAGTTAATTAGAAAAAGGAATAGAGACTAACATATTCTAATATGGAAAAGAGGAAAATAAAGTTCACACTGAATTATTTCAGTATCTCCAGGAAAGCAAGATACAGTAATTTATTAAGGGTGATAGAAGTATATGGAACTGAAAGCAAAAACAACTTTTCACGGGGAGTAAGCAACAGAACAAAGAGGACATGCAATCATCATGGAATAGTGATGACTCATTTGTTCTTGATTATAAAACCATGAGTTAAACATTTTAAATTTCTCAAAGTAAAAACTAAATTAAGTACCACTTTAATTTTCATTTGTCTTTTATTACAAATCTCATTAGCGTTTAGAGCTATATTCAAAAGCATACAACTGTAACTTATTCAAATGTTACAGTCTATACATTCATGTGAACCAAAAATTATTTTTTTCACATATGGAATAAAATTACATGTGATTTCTAGACAAATAATTTATGTACAAATCCTAGGAAGAAATAAGATAGAGAAGTAAAACCAGCCAAAAGCAATCCCTTCTTTTTTTTGTAAATCCCCAAAGGAACTGGTTTGTCTTCCCCTGCATTTATCATATCCATAAATTCTCAACTTTATAAAAGCCTAGAGAAAAGTGAAATTTTAGATAGTTTTGTTTTCTGACTAGCTGAGGACCAAAAACACTTTCTGAATTTTACTGAAAATATTCTGAATGGAAATTATGTTAAAACATATCATATAATTGTCTGCATTTTGGAAGACAGTGTATCTGAACATAAGCTAAGCAGCTGAGTACATTTCACCACTATTAACAATGAACTATGCTGTAATACGGTGATACAAATGGAAGTTGTTCAAAACTATATGGCTGTTTATTAATTAGTAAATGAGGCCCAGATGGCTATTCTTTTAGAATTTTGCCTGTCTGCCCTGTACTACTTTCCAGTCTTTTACATTAATGTCAGAATGCTGTGATCTGCAACTCCCTAGCATGCCTAAGGAACAATGCTGTTTATCCCTAATTTACTCCTTCGAAACTCCGATGAACTTGGAAACAAGACAAAAATTTGCTGAAATGTTAGAGCATGTACTTTAACTTTGTTTTGGCTGCTCATAGTTGTTTTATTTGCTGGGATACAGGAGATCAGAGGAGCTCTTTCTTCCTGGCTCTCAGCTACCTTACATACAAATGGAGAGGAGCTTAATTTAGCCTCATGAGAATTACCTGTATATTTTGTCCTCCTTGTAAGGCTGGTGAGAACCAAAGGAACAGGGACCATTATTATCTGTACTTACAGAGTATGAGATTTCAATAATCCTTTTTGAGTATATCAAATCAAAATCAACTAAATGACTAATATTCCTTTTATTTTCCCAACATCATCAACAACAAAAAAAGTTCTGACATTTTTATCTTAAGTGATTTTTATTACCATTTAAGCAAGGTTAAGGTCTAGGGAGAGGAAAACTGAAACCTCAGTGCCATATGAAATGGTCAGGACATGGCATGCCACTCTTCAGTTAGACTCAAGGTTAAAATGTGCTGGCATGGCTGAAAGGTTCTTTTCTGTTCAAGATCTTGCCCTCAAACAGTTATTAAAGTTCTTAGGGTATATTTCAAAAGAGCAGGGTGTTAACCTTAGCTCTCCAGTCTAATTCCAAGTCTTTTAATTATATGCTGCCTATTAAAATTCCCCTTGCAATTCTAATTTAATAAGGTGGTGTTCAGTTCCTGTCAAACAGCTCAGAGCAATGCCACCAGCTGCAATGCTTATCCCATACAGTGTAATGTTTCAGATGCAATTAAGCTATCATTTAGAATTTTTCACAGAACTGGATCATGCATTCATTAAAAATACTTTTCTACTTATAAGGACTATATAAACTGTATTTTTTAAAAGACAGAATTTCTATATCTGAAAATGCCACAGTGAATTTTAGCTATGTTCTTGATAATTCTATTTGTAGCTATATCAATACAAACATGACAAGAAAACTATTCAAGTACATCATTTAAGTTTTACAAAGGAAAAAAAACTAAACAAAAAAAAAAAATACCTTACAGACCCAAGGCATAAGCTATGTATACTTTCTTTCCCAAGATACTAAATGGTAGAGTTACTGTGTTTCCCCATTTCTCTAATTTGCTAATATCAGAACTTGGTAGAACATCAGGTAAGATGAACAAGTGGTAAAGTGAAACTAAGCAGGAGTATGCACCTATTAAATTTCATCCTTTATCTGGCACCATATTAAAAGGCATTCTGACCACTGTGATCCTTTGCTGGGAGTAAGAGTAGAGGAACTGGAAACAGTAGGAGAGAAAGAATTACTCCTAAAATTGTACAGCCTATTGAAATGAAGTCCTAAAATACATCTTAAGACTTGATGCAAATATAAGTGGAATCCTATGTAGAACCATTATTGCGATAACTTATTCTGTGATGAGAGTCTTAAGGAAAACAAAAACCCTGTGGGTTCCTGGCATTTCAGTGTGTCTTAAAGAATGTTCCAAAATTAGTTCTACTATTGAAACACACTCCAATTACAATTTCTTTATAAATCAATATATTATCAGAAAGTCAAAAGAGAGAAAAGTTTCTACTATTTTTTCTCATCTGTGTATTCTGTTTGTAAAAAATCTACCATCATTCAGAATACTAACATATCACCTGAGGAAAAAAATAAGACAACATCCTATGAACATTAAAAGTCTAGAGTCATTCTAGGCAAAGAAAATACTTCTACCATTGACAAACAAACAAACAAAGAAAAAATCAATTTAAAAACCAAGAGCCAAGAAAACCACCCTTCCTCTTGAGGTTGGCAAACAGCATAAAGATTTCATCAACTTCATTAGATAACATTAAGGCCTGCCTATAAAAAGCAAATGAGAGGTTTTTATTTTTGATTAATGTGTCTATAATGGAGAAAGCATGGCCAAATTAAATAAATCATTTTCTTCAAAAATGCAAAATTTAACTGGGAAAAAAATGCAATTACCTTATACTTTCAAAAAGATAAGTTATCTAAAACTCTAAGAGGTTGTTGTTTTCAGTAGTGACCTGGAGGTGTAACAGATGTTTCCAATCCAATCCAAAAATCTTAGGACTGAATACATTTTGGAATTTAGGTTTTTTACCCTCAGATTTAGAACTACTACTTAACAATTACCAGTGGGGCCAAACCAGCACTCAGTAATCAAACATTTTCACATTTCTGCAGCAAAATGTATGAATAGTTTGAAAAGAAGGGCTCATTTTAGCTCAGATCCACATCTGCTATCCAATAACCTAGTATCGGGTCAGGTTTTGCTGGCAATTTTCATTTTAAGAACTTTAGGAATTTTGTAAACCTAAATTAAAAAAACAGAAATAAGTCAGGCAGAAAGTTCTTCAGTGATTTTATCCCTAAGCTTTAAAAAATAGGTTACACAAATATTGTCTGCTAACCACTGAAGTTTTACAAACTTCAAAATAGCAAAAATTATACTTCAACTATTTCTACGTTATGTTACAGAAGCTCAATTCATGTCCAAAGAAAATAAAATTTTTTTATTAATTTTATATGAATATACACAAAATGCATTCATATTCAAAAGAATTTCTTCCTTTGTAGTACTTTCTAGTTTAAAAAAGTAACAATTATTTCCAAGAATTAAGAAAATCTTGCAATTGCACTGTAACTGAGCATGGTTGGGGTTACAACTAGCTTAAAAGGATATATGAAAGTTTGGACTCTGGGGTAATAATGTAAAGTCAGCAGATGGACAAAGGAATTCTCCTTATTTCTCTTCTATTATCTTACAGTTTGGAAAAAAGGAATAAGTGTTTGTAAGGGGAAGCAGAATGCTTATTATAAGAAAAGTTATGTTCTTTTAAAAACAGTAAATTATCATGGTCAAGAACACAGAGCCTGGAGATAGGCAGCTCTGCCATTTACTAGTTTGTGACTTTAGGAAGTTAGTTTTACTGTGCCTCGGTTTCCTCATTCACAAATGGGGGAAATAACAGTAAATACTACATAGAGCTGTTAATGAAAATTAAATGCTAAACAAAGGTTAAGTAAAAAAGCCAGTGATAGGAAGAATACAGCAATAGGTGATATTAATAAATATTGGCAAAATTAATGCAATATTATTAATTGAAATTTTCTGTGACCGGAACCCCTTCTGAAATGCAGACTGGCTTAACATCTAATTTTTAAAAAATACAATAGATGTTTACCTTGCATTTCATTAACTGAAATATCATTTACTGAAATAATTAGTATCTCTACCCTTTTGCAACAAGTACTAATCATTCCCTGAACTTATAATTTCTGTGACACTCTGAAACACCTCAGAGGAGTTTCTGCATAAAACTAACCTGCAGTTTGCACATATGGTTAGCACTAGATAAGTAAGAGCATTTGGTACTGACCATGTCAGAGAGCCCACCCATCAGACATCACAGGACCAGAAGTAAACTACTGTGCTCACTACACAACCTGAAAAGCTCTGCATGAATCCTTACCTATCTTCATCTTTGTCATACAGTTGGTAATAATCTCCACAACCATTCCAAAAGGTATTATCCACAACTTCTGGCCTTCCTGCTGTGGCTCCATTTTCTGGTGTTATTTGGTTATTTTCTGTTTCCCTCTGTGTAACTCTTGAGTAAGGTGGATCCAAGAACATACAGTCATGCTCTCCATCGTAGTCATCACATTTTATTAAGAGGTCATTTGAGCTGTTTTCCTCAACTTCCAAAGCCTCCCTCCACCTCTGAACACTTCTTTGTTTAGCCTCATGCCTATTAGAACCTGTTTCTTGGTCCACCTGGATTGAACTTACCAGTTTTCTAACTTTGGGCCTTACCACCTGTTCAGGAGAACTTTCCTGGTTCCTGTCCCTATCTCTGGTGTTTGGTTCACTACAAATATGTCCTGGAGCACAGGCTGAATCTTCAGCTGAATTTTCTGTCTGTCCCTCCTGGCTAGTATTGTTTTGTTGTTTCTCTATAACTTCATCTTCAGAAGAGGACCTTTGAAATTCCTGATTGTTCTGATTGACAAACTCAGTATCACCAGTAGAATCTTTCCCTAACGATGCTGAATCTAACTCTTCAAACTCATCTCTTATTTCACAGTTAAAAGAGGGAACTGGTGGTGAAAGACCAGTGTATGCCGCTACCTCTCCATTTTCCAACTCAAATACTGTACTGCCCAATGGTTCCTGGTATCTATCGCCTTCCACAACTTGTGCAGGAAGTTGAAGACGATCATTATCCTCTCCATGTCTGCCACTTGGATCAGAACAGTCAGTAGGAACCAATGCAATTCCATTTTGGACACCTGAAGCATTAACAGCTCCTGGAGTATATTCTCCCTCAGAGTGATTATGAGGATTCGGACTGCTTCCTAAGGCCTCCCTGCCTTCCTCACTATGAGGTACTGCAGCAAAGGATGGACTGCTCTCAACGGTTTGATTCAGTGCTGTATCACAAGTGGAAATTTCCGTTTCACTTTTTTCAAATAAAGGCTCGTTGGGTAAAGGAGAATGAACTGGATCCAATGGACCGGAACCTTCGTAGAGAACAAAAGAACACATATTTGGAGAGATTTAGATGAAATTTTATTTAATGATGACTATTTAAATAGAAATCATACCAATCATTACCTACTTGATAATATGTGTGAATTTCTCTGACAGATGCTTCTATGTTTCCTAACTTAAGTGGGAGGGCAGACTGGTTACCCTGTGAGTACATTTATGTCATTGTATAGCTTTTCAAAGTCCTTCCCCTCACATGTTTTTTGCAGCTTTTTCAGTAAATCCCAATACCTAAAACATTCTCCAAAAGACATTAAAAGCACAGGCTAATGAGAGATTATATAATGAGAGACATAAGTGAAGTTACATGGTAACCAATCTGATGCCCACCCCTCCCCCAACCCTAACCAGCCACTGAGGTTGGCAATTCAAACTCAGCATCTTTTACTACATACAATTAAAAAAAAACCAAACTTAACTTTTTATTACATGCAGCTAAAAAAACTTCAAAAATACTTACAAATATAAGAACAGTTACAGATCTAACAGAAATAAGACTCTACTCTGTTTGTTGTCAATTCAGATTATATCTGAGACTTTAGATACATAATAGATTTGTCCCCAAAGTGGACTGCTATAATACAGCTGTAATAAGGAGTTAACTTCAGATATATTACAGCTATGACTGAAAAACAAAGCCAACATGTTAATTTTCTTTGCCATAGTCAGTCAGAATCCTGAGACAAGAGTAAAATCACATCTGTTCTGTAAATAACTTTAGGCATGACTGCTCTTTATTGCCACTAATGTGGTAATAAAATTAAGGAAGACGTGAAATTTCTTGGAACAAAAATTTGTAAGTTATAAATAACTGAAGAACAGTTGTGGTATCACAAAAAAGGCTTGTTTCACAAAAAGACCTTAGATAACAGTTCACATTCCTGTATATAAATTATAATAAAAATAATCTAGAATTATCAAATATGCTCAGGACAAAAGGAAGGTGACATTCCAGTCTGAAATGTGTAACTACAGTACACATTATCTGCAAAATAATTTTTTAAACCATTGCATAGTTAATAAATTTTAATTGAATAATACTACTTGACACTTGTATTTCATTAAAGGATTTTTAAAAATCAAATAGGCCAAATTAAATTATTTAGAAATGTAATTAGTAACAACAACAGGCCATTTAAATGCAGTATGCTGGGGAAAATATACTCAGTTCACATTAAAAAAAATTTATTTTGATTGAAAGATCTGGCTAAAGGATGTGACAATGTAATCACTGCAGGGGAGTCATATTTTAATGACTGGCTGTAGTGTATTTTCTGTGTTTAAATTTGCCTACTATTAAGAAGTTCAATGCAAGTTTCAAAAGAGAACTTCTTGATAAGAAATGTACAGCACTTCAACACACAATTTCAAATTTTACAAGATCAACTCTAACATGCTTATTGATAACTTAAATGATTCCACGTTGCATACCTGAGGAATTTTCCTTTGGCACATCATCTAGTTCCAACACTTCATAGTCATCACCAGCCCGACCTAAACTTCGTTCATGCCTGGTCATACATGGTTTAAAACTGACATACGCATGTCTTCTTCCGTATCTTCTCCCTGTGATTGTCTGATATCCCCCTGCTGGTTTGGGCCAGGCAGCTTTGCTGGATTCTTGATCCATTGCTGAAAAACAGAGTTAAAAATAAAAGAGGCACAGCAATTATCATTGTTCTGGGGAGCATGGTGGGTAATGTTTCAACATATACGCAATTATGTGCCAAATCATATGCTCCAAACATTAAGTGTACCTTAATAATACTTGAGAAGTACTTGAAAACATACTTGAAAAGTAAACATGAAATACTATGTTAGAAGAGTTATATGGACTTTTACTCCCAAAATATCTTTTAAAGTTTGGTTCCTTTAAGGTACTTCAGATTTTATTATGTAACCTACCAAAAAAAGATTCTTCATTTGCCAAATTATTATACTGTAAAAGCTCACCAAGGATTTGAAAATGATCCTCCAAATTACTAAATAAAGTACTTTATGTAGAAGTCCTCAATACACATTTGTTGAGTCAATTGCCAGCACATGATAGGATGGGTGCCATTACATTAAGAGTGTATACATTCTTGTCAAAGGTTAACAGGTAACTTCTTCAAATGTTATCTGTACTATCATAAGAACAAACTGTACCATCATAAAATATATCCCAAAGATTAGGATCCCATTAAATTCTCTAAAAGAAAACAGTGATTAGCCAAGTCAAACACATGTTACTTCACCATTCAAAACTGTCAATGGTATCATTAGGTAAGATAAGCCACCAACATTTAAACAATCTGAATATTAAGTTCTGATGACTGAGGAATAGGTAAGTGGTAAACAGCATCGTTTACTAAGCTGGACACTACTTTATATATACATATGTATATATAAAGTATAAGTTTGCTTAGTCAATTAGATTTTTACACATACTATGCAGGAATTAAAAATATATTTTCGCAGTATGTTGAATAGTCAATGAAACTACTGAATGAAACTGTAAATGAAATAGTTACATATTTTTGTTTTATTGCATTAAAATAAGGAATATAATTGCTTCCAAACAGGAGAGAGAAATAAACATGTACATGTAACATATAATATCAAGTGGCACATTGTTACTTGTCCCCTCAACAACCTAATGAGGTAGATAACAGTATTTTATTTTAAAGATCAAAAAATTAAGGTTAAAATTAACTTTAAGCAATTTGTCCAATAATCCAACAGTCTGACTCCAGAAAAAGTGCCTCAACAACACATCCAAACAAGCAGTCTCCAAAGTAGGAAGCACAATAGAAGCCAAAGTTGTGTGGAAAGAAAATGTAAGAATTTCTATTTATACTTATTTTCTTACCAAAAATTAAAAATTAAGCTTTACAAATATTCAATATATGAATCTAACTGGCTTTAAGTTAATTAAGACCACATGTCACATGTGCTCACATGTCATGTTGGCACTCAAGATACCTGGAGAGAATATGAAGTCCTCAAGGTAGAGGAATGAACAGGTTACCTTGCTTACCTGCTGGCTCTTTTTCAGTATACTGTGACATATATGGCAGTTTCTGTGTGCCCAGTTCAGTGGAATTACGGATATGATTAACTTTTATTCACACAATGGATAAGCTGCAGAAGATTCCTACAAATAAACAATGGTTTATATATTAATAATATAAGCATAAAAAGCAAAACAAAAAAGTCAAAACCAATACTTTTCCTCCTCCTAGTGAAGCTCTTCATCAGCTCTATAATACAGAAAAATACAACTTTTCTAATAAGTCAATCAAAAAAACATCAAACTATCAAGATAGCTACCTGAAAACACATTTACAGCTCCTCTTTAAAAACCTTGCTCTAAGTATATGTCAACCTTAAGACTGAAAATGGTAACACCACACATATAGTTTATAAGTAAGCAAGCAAATATATTAGAAGTGTTGATTGGAGTACATGATCTAACTATTTGGGAATCTACTATACTGAGCTATCTTTGCTTCTCCATCAAGCAAGGAACTATAGTTCATTTACCCTTGTCACTGTTAAGAAGTTAACAAAAAGAATATAAACTTCATTTTTAAAATGTGTAATTGCTATGACAATAATTAATATGTATAAATGATGATATACTTTTTCTTTATTATGGTCAACTGATCATTCAGATATCTTAATCCCAAATAAGAATATATTCTAAGTTAGTAAATCTAAAATTTACTATGTAACAAACATAAAAAGACCCTCCATTTTGCAATAAATGGATTCATATAGATTATGAAAGAAGGTAAGGAGTTGAGACTAATTCATTGCCTGGGCAACAAGACAGAATTGACATTAACTGATGTAGGAAAAATTGTGGAAGAAGTAGGCTTGGAGAAAATATGAGTCTGGTTTTGAATGTGCTAACTTTGTGGTATCTATTAGACAATGAGGTAGAAATGTTCAACAGAGAGCCTGGAGTTAACTGGGAATTCTGAGCTGACAATATATTTTGGGAATTACCAATCAGTACATAGATAATGTTCAAAAGGCATGAACTTGATTGGATGAGACATCTAAGTGTACCTGGAAAAGCAAAGAAGTTCAAAGTCTGATCCCTGAGATGATCCAACATAGATGCCAGGGAAAAAGAAATACCAGAAAAACTGACAGACCAGAGAAAAAAATCCAGGAGTGTGGTTGCCAAATGAAGAAAGCGTCTCCAGCAGAACTGACCCACTGTGCCAATGCTGCTAAAAGATAAAATAGGAGGGTCTGCAAAAGCCACTGGATCTAGCAAAAGGGAGGGTGCTGAAGAGCACTGTTCACAAGGGCACCTTTGGTAGAATGGTGGGTGTAGAGGCCTGATCAGAATGCTGAGGAAAGGAACTGGAATGGGTACAGAAATCATGAAAATCACTCTGTTTCCTAATCATACTTTTCTTTAACATGATTCTACTTTCTTCTTAAAGATATTCTTTTCTAAGCCCTGCAATATCCTGATCTAAAAGTGGTCTACTTGTTTTTATGGTTGCTACCCAGCTACTTCTGTGTCATCTTTTGATTGTCCCTTGTTATGAACCGCATGTTCTTTTTAAATCTTTATTAGAAGATCCTCTAGTACTTGTTACAGGAATTTTATGTGAGAAGGTAAACTGTTGAGCACTCACACATCTGAAAATATTTTCATCTTTTCTTCACATTGGGTACAGTTCAAGATAAAATAATTTTTTTCCAAACTCTGAAAACATTTTTTAGCATTCCATGATGCTGTATCTTGCTAAACTTTCTCATTCTTTTGTAAGTAAACTCCCTGAAATATTCAGGATTTTCTCTTAATAAATGGTATTCTATAATTTCACAAAGACTCTTAGGGGCAGGCCATTTGTTAATTTCTCCTACACAACCCTGGCTGGCTGTTTTAATTTAGACCTATGTCAGTTTTACTCTAAGATGTTGTTTTTCTTCTTCTTCCGATTTTCTCTATATGTAGCCCATATAAATTGACCCTCTGTCTTTAAACTTTTATTTTTTTCATCTATGAAATAGATTTCATTCACTTCTACTTCTAGCCTTCTAGTATTCTCTTTAATAATCTTTTAAATTTCTTGTACTTTCTTGTTCTCTGCTTCTTTTATTATTATTATTTTCAATGGCTGTTCTTGTCTTATGAATAAAACATAAACCAGAGCCTCTCTGTGGATACTAATTATCTCTATTTCATCTAAGGTCAGCTAATCAAGTATCTACGACAGTGTAATACCAATCCTACCTTTTACATATAAAAAAGAAAAAAAATAAGCAGGAGAATGAATAATAAGGAATAAAAGACCACAGTTGTGCGTCAAGATTAAAACAATTAACTCATCAGTCCCAAGCTTATATCTAAAGTGAAGTGGGCACGCAGTCTGAGTTTTCTCTAGAGACGTTTCCTTATCTGAATTAATCTCTTGCCCCTTGTACTATTCACCTAATAAACACACATGACCCCTCTTTACTTGGGACAATTGTTTACTTCAAATGCCTTTTCACATACTTCTTACTAAAGGTAAAGTTTTAAAAAACTGTACAAATACGTTTCTGTTTTAAGAATTAAAGGGTTAATCAGGAAATTAATTATAGTAATTATAATTAATCTAGGTTAATCTAGTAATTCCTAGATCTTATTAACCTATAAGTTGTTACTTTATCATTTTAACTAGGATAGTACCCCAGGAGCTCCTGACAGGCAACAGAAACAACCTTCCAAAGGATACCAAAGGAAAGTACCAAAGAAAAGTATTGGTACAGGAGGTACACCTCCCACAGCAGAATTTAAAGACTGGTGAATTTAAAGACAAAGACCTTGTTTTATTTTTATTTGAATGCACTGTGTCTAATACTTATCTAACATAGTATATATTTAAATAATTGCTGAACAAGTGGATGAGTTAATGAATTAACAATTCTGTGCTCCTTTCTCTGATGGAAATGCAGAAATACAAGGAAAAGAGAAGGTTGTGTCAGATATACTTAGATTCAGATTCCAACTCTGATACTTAGGTAAATTAAATGAAAGTTAGTGGTAGTAGAATTAAGAACAATAAGCATCTAAACAGCAGTAAGAAAAAAGACTTAGGCAAACTGCATGAGTGCTCATATATCTAAATGAACACAATACACACTGCAGTTGGTACATACTAGGCCTACATCTTCAATTTTGTCTTCAGTATAATCATACTTCTCCAATAACACAGCTTGTATAATACTTAAAAGTAACATTATTATTTTTTCAGTGCAGCGTACCCACTTCAGTAATGTCACCTTACACTATCACAATAATGTGGTAGTTTCAAAATATGTCCACACATTTTTTTATTCTTGTTCCTTCAAAAAGCAGAGCCTAATTTGCTCCCTTTAAGTGTGGGCTGTGCTTGGTGACTTGTTTCTAATGAAGACAATGTGACAGAATTAACAGTATGTGATGTACAAGATTAAGGCATAAAAAGCACTCTAGTGTTCTTCTAGCTCTCTCTCTTGGTTCACATCTGGAAGAAGCCAGCTGCTACATCATGCGATTACTCAAGTAGTCCTATGGAAATGTCCATGCAATGAATAACTGGCAGTTCCTGTCAAAAGCCAGAAGGAACTGGAGTCTTCTAGCTAAAGCCTTATGAATGAACCATGTAGGAAGCAGATCCTTAAGCACCAATCAACCTTCAGAGAAACTGCAGTTCTAGCCACATTTGGCCACAACCTTATGAAAGGTCCTGAGCCAAAATCACACAGCCAGGCTGCTCCTGAATTTCTGACTCAGAGAAATTATAAGACAAATGTTCTGAGCTGCTAGGTCTATTGCAGCATAACAAATTATCCTGTAATAGATAACAAATACAAATAATTTAAATTACATGTACTTGATACCAGATTTTCTTGTATTTCCACTATTACTAGAAGAAAGGTTTTCTAATACCATCTCACAGAAGTATATTTTCTCCCCTTAAAAGATATATTTATTCCCAGCATGGAACGTGCCCTGTTGGGGCTGACAGTCTCAAAATGAATTATTCTGGTCTTTTGATGGTTGGCAATGTCAGAACCGCTGCTTAGTTCCTATACTCTACCTATCACCTAGTAGATACTTGTTAAATAGCTACTTGATCAGGGACACTTGCCTTTAGAATTTAAATCTGATTTAAATGAAGTTTTCATTTAAAGATTTTTTTTTTCATGAAAGACTTTCATTCAAGAAGACTTTCAACTGAAAACTTAGATCTATACCTCTGTGCCCCATTTGCTAAGGAAGAAATAACTCACTTTCTTCTTTTGATATAATTAACATATAACATTAGTTTCAGGTACAACATGATTCAGTATATGAAATGGTCACCAAAATAAGTCTAGTTAACATCCATCACCATACATAGTTACAAATTATCTTCCTTAGATGAGAACTTGTAAGATCTACTCTTTTAGCAACTTTCAAATATACAAGACAGTATTAACCATTGTCACCACGCTGCACATTACATCCCAATACACATCTCAAAAGACAGAACTGGAAGTTTGTATCTTTTGACCCCTTTCACCCATTTTGCCCAATCCACCCTCCCACCCACCTCCAGTCACCACCAATTTCTCTGTATTTATAAGCTTTGTGTTTAGATTGTTCATATAAGTGGGATCATTCCATATTTGTCTTTCTCTGATCTATTTCACTTAGAATAAGGCTTTCAAGGTCCATCCATGTCATTGCAAAAGATGAAGATTTCATTCTTATGGCTAAATGATAATTCCACTGTATACACATATACATACATACACACCCTAATTAATCACTCCCCACTCCAGAAAGATCTGATTGTTTTTAGGTTTTTTTTGGCTTAGAACAACAGAAATTTGTTCTCTCACAGTTCTAGAAGCTGAAAGTCTGAAATCAATGTGTTGATAGAGCCATGCTCCCCCCAAAGACTATAGGGAAGAATCCTCCTGTATGTCTTCTAGTTTCTGGTAGATGCTAGCAATCCTTTCATTCCTTGGCTTTATACCACATCTTTATCCATTCATCTGCTGATGAACACTTAGGTTGTTTCCTTATCATGGCTATTTAAAGTAATGCCGAAATAAACATGGAAGGGGGGTGCATAGATCTTTCTGGATTAGTGTTTTCATTTTCTAATGCTGCAA